TCGTTAATTTTAAATAAAATTTTAATTTGAGTCAAAATTAAATTATGGGTCAAACCCATTTATAATACAATTTTAAAACCATTTTAAAATTCAAATTCAAAACAATTTTAAAATTTGCAAATTGGCCCAAGTTTCAAAATTACACAGAAGGCTGCACAATTACAAAATTTGCATGACTGGCCCCTCATTTAAAATTTTCAATTGACCCCTTGGAAAGTAATTGCAAACAGGGGCCATAATTACTTTAATTGCAGAGGAACCCCACGCCTCCAAATCACCCTCCCGAATCTGAAAACCCTAGGTTCAACTTTTTTTTTTATTGATCTTTTGTTTTCTATCCATGCCAGCGCCACAAAAGAGAGGTTGTGGTCTGGCAGCAGCAACGCCATTTCAGCATCAGCAGCGCCCGGCGTTGCTTTCTGGGCAACGGCCAAGGTCGTTGTCGCTCCCGGCTGCCTCTGCCAGCGGCAACTGTTGCCACCGGTTGTACCCATCTCGACCCCTTTTTTTTGCTCGAATCAGAATTCAAAAATATAAAATTAAATTTCCAATCCAAAAATAATTTCTATTCAAAATTGGATTTTTAATATGAAAATTTATTTATTTCATTAATCGCTAAAACAAGAAAAATAATTAACATTTAATTGTTCCAACATGCAAAACAATTTCTAACAAACACAAAGTAGCATCTAATGCCACTGTTGGGAATCTACTTAACATGCGCAGTGAAAAATTAAAACAGATTTCGATTCCCACTAGGAATCTCTTTGTGTTTAGATAGAAATTGTGAAAAGATTGTACCTTTTCCAGATCTGCAAACTTCTTTACTATTCTTTTCGTTCCAACAATCTTGATTCACCACCCACAGCTGTCCAATTGTCCAGCCTCTAACAGTGATCCACACAGAGAACAAGATTGTAGTTATTAGGGTTTTCTCCTCTTATGCTAGCAAGAATAATTATGAGAAAACATATGGATTGAAAATTCTAATCATGTATTTATATAAGCCCAAACGAGTCTGGCCTGATCCGGTCTAATATTTAATTAATCCATTTAATTAAATCTGGTCTGTGAATTAATTAATCCAATTAATTAATTCGGGCCTATAAATAACCAAATCAATTAATTAATTTATCCAACGATTGTTAAATTAATTAATTGACAAATTGTAATCTTGAAATACTCTTTTGTGTGCGACCCATCAGGTTCCCGATCATGATGTCTAACAACTTAAAATATTATTTTGATCTAATCAAAATTGATAAAATAAAAAACCCTTTTAGTTTATTATCGATTCACACTCGGCGTCCCAAATTGACATTTAGCAATATGTCAGGGCAATACTATACATGTGACGGGAAATGTCATGTGGTATGACTAAACCAAACTCGTTCGTTTACCGTGAAATTATAATCCCTTCGTCAATATGATTTGATCAATTACGAGATATGGAAGTGTGTCAATCTCGATTATGGATCATATCTTTCACTCTACTATTAAATCAATATAAGTCGAAAACTCCTTTTCGACTTATAAGTACACTTTGGCCAAGGATTTCGTTATCGACTTAATTGAATGAAACGCAGATCATAGTCTCTTATTATCTAAGAGTAATGAATCATCTATTGGTCATTTACAACATTTATATGATTATTGACATACCCGAACGATGTCGTGTTAGCAACCCTTAGCAGAGCAACACCTAACATCGTCAAAGCATGACCGTTCTCATATAAGGTACTATGACGACCTCAAGTCAAAAGGACCAATCCCACTATGGAACGTTAGAGATTAACCACTGACACTCAGATAGTTATCCATGTGGAATCTCTCTGCGGGTCTCCAATGTTTTGTCCTATAACAAAATATTTACGTGTTCATTTAAGTGTCACTACACTTTAACTTGTGAGATCAGCTACTTACTTCATAAGTAAGAAATGCCACACGTGATGGTCTATCCGTAATAACGATATTCCTATCTCGTTATTACTTACGACCACGGACGATTTAAGATTCAATCAGATGTAATTTGTATTTCACAATCACAACCCCTTGTGATTAACAAATTACGAAAATTTAAATCTATGGACTCTATTATTTATTTAATTGTTTATTAATTAAATAATAGATCTGCCATTAAATTGCATTAATTATATATCGAAAGTATTTATGTCCAAAGTTGGTTGGACCTAGGGCATAATACTTACAATCCCAATAATCGATCTTTCTCCATGGAATACCTCTGATGCTGATGCTGATGCTGATGCTGAGTTTTCAAATTTAGCAGCTGAGATAGGCGATGCTAGCAACAACTGGGTTTTTCCAGGTGATCAACCATGGGTACATTAAAATGTCGTTAGAAGAATTAGCGGCAAGGAAATTCTTTTGTTTGTCGAAAGATGAAGCATATCCTGAGCATGCTAAAAATGTCAGGGGACTGGAAAGAAGTGTTTGATGTTGCTGTAATGAATCCAAACAATTATACCATCTTCTCATAAGCCTGAGGATAAGGACCTTGAAGAGTTGATTAATCAGTGGCCTGAATATCTTCCCAAATTGAGGCATGTTTAGATTCAATGGAACTCCATAGAAATATTCAGGAATCTTCACTCTTAAAATTACATTGATGTGTATGTATTGTAGCGATTTCATCCCCTGTTTAGTAGACTTGAAGATATAAATAAATTAGTCACACTTCTCTGATTGTTTTAAATTTTTTAATGAGTGACCATTCAATACAGTGGCATAATTAGTCGGGAAAGTTCCAGTTTGGAGGGAGAAAATGATATAAGACGACCACCTTTTCTCCAAGGCCATCCCCGTTGCATTTACTCCGTATTAAGACTAATTAAAATATCAACCTTAAAACAGAAGCCCAAGCCATCACATGTTGTTTGGTAATTATTACAATTAACCTAAATGGGAATTTACTCAATACTAAAGACCTCTTGAGACGTTACCAAGGTCGCAAGTAAAAAGCGAAGGATGAACCGAAGGCCGTTTTCAATGAGGCCAAAATTCACTTTTTCAGTATAAAAGAGAGGACTTTTTTATTTTTTAAAATTAGGCTCTTTTACTTTGACCATGTGAAAATACTAAAAAGAAAAATTAGGCTCTTTTACTTTGACCATGTGAAAATACTAAAAAGATGCATTGTATGGTATCGAAGACGCACATTTGTAAAAGGGGGAAAAATAATAATAACAGTCCGACCTCACGTTTGGTTGAAAATGTTTGTAGCCTTTATCTGATCACTTAAACTTTTAGTTATAGTGGGATTTAGTGTGCCAAATTACTTTTAGCAATCCAGATATATAGCTCGAATTACTTTGAATAAAATTGAACAGAGTAACGGGATGATCAACAAGATCATAATGTTAATTTGAGCCACTGACTTAAGGATGTGTCCTTAAGATGAATTTGCTCTCTTCTATGGTACATAAAGGCATTCAGCAACTGTCTCTCGGGATAGAATGAATTTCATCTCTCACAAAAGCAGCACAGCAATTTGCAGGAATTTCAACAGACTCAATAAATTGTTTGTATACTTCGAAGAATAGTATCAGAATAAGAGAGAGGGAATGAGATTCAAAGCAAAGAATATGTGCAATTAAAATGCTATAAATTTTTTGGCAGCAGAGCAGGCTATTTATAGATTTAATCGTGCCAATTCAAACACTCTACAAGCCTCTTTAGACAAATATAACGAATTCTATAGTCTCAAATTTGTTGTGGAAATTTAGAACCAAAAGCGGGCCAGAGGCACTCTTTAGGTCTCGTGACTATTCAGATGATCTATTCAGAAGAAACACTGCATCTAGTCTGTTAAAGGTCTATTAACAGACGTCCGTTACATTGATTAACAGACGTTCCAAGACAATCACACCGGAAAATATGTAGAAATAAGCCAATGGTAGTTAAAAATAATGTCACTAAATACCCAAGAATTTGATTAATTATACTTTGACCCAAAAATTTAAATAAAATTTGTCCAAATATATATCCACTCAACCCGACTCAGACACGGGCCCATGCTCATGCTAGGCCGGGTTGAACGGTGGCGTGGCTCACACATGTGTGAGCTTAGGATCGAACACAATAGGATCTAGGTCTTACTAGTGTACCCCTTTTGGTCCAAATCTAATTGTCAAACTTCCACTATATAAATCACATAAATTCCCGACTTATTTTAAGTTTCAAGTGGGTAACTTGAAATCAAATATTTCATTTAATTTTAAATGATTAATAAATATAACATGTTAATCATCTCGTGGATTAAAACGTGATATGTTTGATCCCTTTAAAATCGGAGTACAAGTCCCATTGAAATTAAAGTGCAAATTTGACTCATTTCACTTTCTAGTGACCATTTCCAACACAAGGCTTACAATTCGGGAAAGCTCATTTCCACGTGAAAACACAGTACCTTCAAGAAACTTGATATCAAAAACATTCAAATATATCATTTCAGGATTTACACTTTAGAGGGAGTTACTCTGTTCATGGCCCATATTTATCTAATATGTGCCTGTGTACGCGCACTATTACAAACCTAGATCTTTGCTCTCTTGTGTAAGCTTATTTTCTGTGAAATAAAATAAAATTACAGAATCCTGGATGGCAATTTGAACTGGTTGAGCTTCTTGTTCAAGTTCCACATATTGCTAGTGGAGTCAAAACTGACGACCGGCCGGCCACCACACGGACCCTTCCAGACCCTGCTGGCCCACTTTGACTCCAGTAGATATAGCTAACAAGTATTCTTCTAGAGGACATACAAAAGTCACTTTCCTAGTCTTTTACAGAGATTTGAAATCCATTCATAGTTAAATTTGAAGGGTAGAATAAATATCATCTTTAGGTGATCCAATGTTTGGAAACTTGCACAAGGCTGGCTGACACGTTACCTGTTATTGGTTCTATTATAACTTATTGTGTCCAAGTTCAATGTATATGTCAATAATTGACAAAGTATTACCACTAATATATATGATTAAGTGCACTGTTAACTCGAAAGAGGTATTATCAAACTATCTCCAAACAATTGAGCCATGGGAGAAGTGGATCCTGCATTCATCCAAGCCCTTGAACACCAGCCTAAAATTATCATCACTGAAGCCGAAGGCATCCCGTTAATTGATCTTTCTCCATTGATTTCCTGTAATACTGAGGCTGAGGATTCAAGTTTAGTAGCTGAGATAGGTGATGCTTGCAAGAACTGGGGTTTTTTCCAGGTGATCAACCATGGAGTGCCATTAAAGTGCCGTGAAAAGATTGAATCAGCGGCGAGGAAATTCTTTGGTTTGTCGAATGAGGAGAAGAAGAAGGTCAGTAGAAATGAAGTCAATCCTTTGGGATATTATGATACTGAGCATACTAAAAATGTGCGGGACTGGAAAGAAGTGTTTGATCTTACTGTAAAGAAACCCACAATTATACCATCTTCTCATCAGTCTGATGACAAGGAGCTGAACCAGTTGATGAATCAGTGGCCCGAAGATCTTCCAGAGTTAAAGTAAGTTTAGTTTGGATTGAACTGGATCCATTGAATATTCAGGAATTTCACTGTTTCCAAATTTCGTAGATCTCTAGTGTTTTTTTTTTTCATCATCTGTTTAGCCTCATTTTCAGAATGAAAAACTGCGAAAATATTTCACTTCCAAAATCTACTCCTTTCAATTGATACAATTTTAGAATGAATTTATGTTGCTTGACCATTAAAGACAGTAAATTTCCCAGCTTAACAATCCAGACATATAGCCCCGGAAAGGTATTCCTCTGGTAACATAATTTGTATGTGTTTCAATGAACTGCTGCTTTCAGAGAGGCTTGTGAAGAATATGCTGAAGAAATGGCAAAACTAGCTTTCAAACTACTCGAATTCATCGCCTTGAGCTTAGGCTTGCCAAAAACTCGGTTGAGTGGAATCTTCAAGGATCATGATAGCTTTCTGAGGCTCAATCACTATCCTCCATGTCCTGCTCCTCATTTAGTGCTCGGTGTTGGTCGACACAAGGACCCCAATGCTTTGACCATTCTTGGCCAAGATGAGGTTGGAGGACTAGAAGTGAAGAGGAAAGCAGATGGAGAGTGGATTCCTGTTAAACCTACTCCTAATGCTTATATCATCAACGTCGGTGACCTGATCCAGGTACAAATTTGATTTTATTCAGTAATTATTTCACTTAATCCCGTCTTAATTTTTCCCTGTTTAGCTATGTATTAAGGATAAACTAAAGCAAAATTCTAGACTCCAATCACAATTGAGTTTTCTTATTCTTGTACGGTATCACTTGTTACATGAAAATTTACAGGTTTGGAGCAATGATGAATATGTAAGTGTGGAACACAGAGTGATCGTCAATTCTGAGAAGGAAAGATTATCGATTCCGTTCTTCCTGAATCCACCAAATTCAACTTGGGTGGAACCCCTGGAGGAGCTAATAAACAAGCAAAACCCTGCCAAGTACAAGCCTTATAACTGGGGAGAGTTTTTGGCCAAAAGGGCACGTAGTAACTTCGAGAAACTTGACGTTGAAAACATTCAAATATCTCATTTCAGGATTTAGACTTTAGACGAAGTTACTTCTGTTTAAAGGAATATATGTGTGTATGTGCTATGTATTTCTCACTTTGGCTCTCTCGAGTAAGCTTATATTCTGTGAATAAATAATATTTTCAGAAATAAACCAATGGCTACCAATAAAATTGGGAATTTTCTTCTTTCATTTTGAAACATTCCAGTTCACTTGGTATGATACTATCCACGTACGACCTAGCCAGCACGGTTTTGGTCTTGAGCTTCCACCCAAAAGGCCTTATACCAATGGGGAGTGGTCCTTTCACTTATAAATCAGTCTCATTTTCCTTCCCAGGTGATAAAGGAATGTGGCTGCAACACAAGTACTCCTAAAATTAAACACAAAGAGAGGAATTTCCTCGATTTCAATTAAAAATTTGTTCAATGGTAAGTATCGAGAAAGGCCTTGAATTTATTAGCTCAAATATTTAGCATGCATACTTACATTTCTGCTTCTACTGCTTCATGAAATTCTGATGCTTGATTGTATTGAAAAATTACACACAAAAAAGCATATTTGGGGTTGGCTTATTTCTCAAATAAACTTCCAAATAAGCCAGGGCTATCAAATTTACATTCCAGGGTATAATGACGTTCAGTTAAGCAGTCAAGTTTGTGCAAATGTTGTTGGGAATTTTGAGTATATTGTCTTGTAAGTTGTACAGAAACTCGTACACGAGAAAACAACAAGGTAAACAAAGAATAATGTTGTGCCTCGCCACTTGGCATCCCAAGTGGCCGAACCACTGAAGCCCTTTTTGCCAAATCCCAAAATCTGGAGTCTCGCCAAAGCTCAATGGTGGCCTTGACTATAGGCGGAGTAGGCGATTGCCTAAGGCCCGGCTTTGATAAGACCCCCAAATTTATAAGGTTAATTGATTGGTTAAAGAAAAATGAAAATTATATTTATAAAATTCTTTAAAATAGAATTATCACATGCAAACACAATAAACTAAAAAAAATTGAAAATACAAAATTCTTTTAAAAACATGTAAATGAGATAAAATTTATCACTTACATTTATTTATCACATAAATATATCACAAACATTACTTTTTCTCTATATGACTAATTAGACACAATATTTTCTAAACATTTCTTTTCTTTTCTTAACCAAATAAAAGGTCTTTTTGTCTCTTCAAATTCTACTCACCCATCATAATTTTCTAAACTCAACAAGAAATAAATAGTAATGTTATTTGCAGTCGCTCAACTACGTGGTATACATATGACGGTTAGTGATTTGATACATTAATATGGTATTTTTTTACGTTATGCATCAAATCACTAACCGTCAAATGTATGTCAAGTAGGGTGACTGCGATAGTGAGCGATTGTATATAGCATTATTTAGAAATAAATTATCTCCATTTGAATTAAAATTTTGAAGATTCAATTTGATAGATTAGTTTGGTCTCACTGTCATTGTCACAGCTTTACAGGTTTCTTTCTTTCTCCCTTATCTACAAAATATATACTACAGAGTATATAGGTTATTATTATTATTGTTTTGCTTTAATCTCATGATAATATCATTTTTAAATGTTTGTTGAAAGTATTTAGAATTTAATAATTCTTCGTCCGTATTCATACTTCTTATTTGTATGTTAACTTCTTATGAATTAATATAAAATTATATTATATTTGATCATCATTTTCATTATTTTGTTAGTTTATCTCTCGCAATCAACATTATCCAATTTTGTACATAAATTACTCAAATGCATATTTAATTTTGTTTAAAAGAGTTGCAATGAGAAAATGATCAAAGAAACGAATAAACGCATAGTAATTTTGTTTGCTGTAACTTTACTTATAATTTGTATTGCACGTTGAAATTTGATAGTTTGTATATTCTTCTTCAAATTTTGGGACTTAGTTGACTCAATTAGATCATTCATAATTATATTAAAATTCTTTATAAGAAGGTTCAAAATATAGTGGGTCACACATTTGAAGTTGGCATAAGGCCCCCAAAATATTAGGGCCAGCCCTGCCAAAGCTTCACATGGCCGAACAACTGAAGCCCTTCAGTGTAGCCCATTATCGAAGCTATGATGTCCATGTAATTGAATCTGAAGCCCAATGGTTATGCCCCCCCAAGCTGAAGCTTTTGAATTCACAATATCTTGCTTGAAATGATTGATTTGACTTATGTGATGGGGGATATGTTAAAGTCTTGTCAACATAAGTAGTAGGGTGGCTGCATCCTTTTATAGCATTAAATGCGGCACAAGCTAGCGAAGTTAAAACTGATGTCCAGGATAGGATGTTCAAGTTAAGGAGATGAAGACATGTGCCCTCTCATCTATGGGATACTAAGTCATGTACAACACTATAAAAAAAAACCCCCCTCATTGTATCATTTGAGGCTAATGCAACTATTAACAATTAAAAAGTTATTCTTTATGTTCTTACTTGCTTATTTTCACACTCTTATTTGTCGAAGCTTAGATTTTCTTGTTTAAGTTGAGTTGTTGGTGATTGATCATTCCTTATCGTACAATTGCATTCATATATTCTGCTAATGTCCGAACATATTTTTCTCGTGTTATTAAGCTTCTCCCACGTTCAAATGCAAGATATTATCGACTAGTAATCTGTCTACACGTGTCGAAATTAGCTTGCGTAGATACAAGTGGGCCCAATATTTGTTGTCCACGTAACTGTACAAAAAACGAGGTCAACAAAAAGAAATGAAGGAACTCCAAGAACAAAGATGGAAATGAAACTCCGAGGCAAGTGTTTAATACTATCTTTAAGACGAATTTGCCCTACGATGGTATTGCCGGTGGATTGGCAATCTTCTCTCAAGATACAACGGATTCTTCTTTCAGGAGAAGCACTTCAAGGCAACATCGAATTTGAAATAGAATTTTCTCTCTACTCAAACAATGTTTTTGATGCAAGAAACAAATGATTTTTCAAAAGTTTTTATGCAACATAATGAAGGAGAATGTTATTGAATAACTTTATGGCATCAAGGGTGTCAATTTATAGAAGGTCAGGGGTTGTAGCCAACAAGACGTAGCCCAAAACTTAGCATGTTTTGTGAAGGGATGCAACCCTTCCTGGTGCTCGCTAATCGCCCACTTTGCCATCGAGGGCTCAAAGCAGGGACTTGGCACTCACTTGGCACCAGGCTGCCACTCGAGCGATGGCCTTATATAGCCAAAAATCCAATTTTTCCTTCTAAATTTGGATGGCAATTATTTATTCATTCGGAACTGGTTTTGAGATTCCAAATATACTATAGTCATCTACTCAACGAGTAGAACAAATTAGTCTATTCACTTTCATGATTTGACAATCGGAGCTCATCCAAATACTTGGCCGACATTGATACAAAATCAATTTTTCTTAGGTTTTACTTAACCAATTTATCTCAATTTTAACCTAATTCTAACAAATTTCACTTTTAAAGATAGTCACAGGGCTGGTCTTGTGGCTACGTAAATGTATTGAGAGAGACTTTGCCATTTTTTTTTAAAATATATTTTTTTCTCTCTTCTTTTCAACCATACATTCTTTATTAAAATAATATTACACGTAAATAAAAAACTTTTCCTTATTTTTCAACCACACATTTTCCATCAATTTAGTATTCAAAAATGCATTTTTACATAAAAATATCTCCCAAACATCCCATAAGAATAAAATAATCAACAATTCGTAATTCTTGTCGCCTTTGGGATCGAGATACTGGGAATGCCTCGTCTGCAAATTAATTGGTATTCACTATAAATAAATTTGTATCTTGTGAGAACAATTATAACATTTTTATGACATTCGATCAATATCAGTCAACTGATTCAACTTGTAGATCTAGGAGTATCGTTCACTCGGTCAAGTACTTAATTTGACCAATATGAATTATGTGAATTTTGTCTATATATATTTTTTGTTATTCTTCTTCCATTTTATCTTTATATGCATTTAAAAAAAAATTTCTTCGAATATTGTTGTCATTTTTTTTTTTGGGTAGTATTTTTTATTCATCATTAGTATAGAGCAAAAAATGACGATGTAGAAACATTATACTTAGTAAATTTCATACTGCATTTGTTTATGAGCATAAAATAAAATTGATCTTGTGTATGTTAATATTAGCTTTATTAAAATTAGTATTGTTTGAATGTCTACTTCTGCTAAGTTCATTATTGTATCCCCTTATTTAGAAATCTATATAATCGGAAACAAATATCAAAAGGAGCCAGCCTCCAAAAAATAACGAGAAATCCCTCGTCTAAATTCTGTCTAGCAAAAAATCCATAGTAAATTCCAAGTCATGTCTTGACGCTCTCCTTAAGAAAATATTTGTCCCTTACCTAAAGAGTACACCAGGAAACAAAATTTTCCAACATGACACAACGGAGTGCTTCAAAAGAATTTGAGAGCATCTATGCACTCAACAATCCAAACACCAAAGATATATGGAAATTCTATAAGGGTCTTTGTAATTTGGTTCTGCAGTACTCCAGACACAAAGTATGTTTGAAGTGAAATAGGATTGCTAAATTTTAACAAGTTGAATAATGGAAGAAGAAGAAGAGGTTCCTTAATTCGTATAAAAATAGGGTAAGTAGATGAGGAAGTTTATATCTGAGCGAAAAATAGTAATTTTATAATTTTTGGAGTTTTTTCAGAGAAAAGAAATTTATAAATCTATTGTGTCTTGCTTTGGTTTATTATAGCAATAATCCTGGAAAGAACCAAAGTTTCAGGTTTCTCGAGTCTATTAATGCAATACGATATGTTAGAGACTCTTCTATAAGTTTCTGCCGTGTTTATGTTTTTTAAAATCAGTAAAAAATTGCATCTTTGATATTAATAGTCTGACTTAAATGACACTTTTATTCACAGTCTCGATTAGTAGTTTTAGTGGAATATAGGATTTCATTATTATCTTAATTGTCAACCGTTGATGGTAAACTTTTGAGTAATGCTACATGAACAGATTCAAAATTAGACTAAAAAACAAGTCCAACAGGTGTCACTACACTCTTGGAGAGTTTGAAAATTTAAAAAAACAAAAACAGCCAATCAGTCTGCCAGCTCATTCTGTTTTTTCAGCCCCTGTCCCTCCCCCTGTTCAAGTGGAATTGTCAT